CAAATTCCCTGGTACCTTTCATGGCCTCTCCTGCTATTAGGGCCAAGAATTTTAGATGGTGAAAGCAGTCAAATGATGCCAAAATCGTCACAATCCATTATGCGGAGCTATTAGAATAAATTACCAAAATTTCTCTGTAATAGACGGCATGACTAGAAATAAGACACTTTTCTTCTATGGAATTAGCTTTGCAAGTTGCATAACATGTAATACTTTTCTATTCATTTAGGAATGTAAATGACTGTAATAATCGAGAGAGAGAGAGAGAGAGAGAGAGAGAGAGAGAGAGAGAGAGAGAGAGAGAGAGAGAGAGAGAGAGAGAGAGAGAGAGAGAAGAGAGACGAGAGAGAGAGAGAGAGAGAGAGAGAGAGAGAGAGAGAGAGAAGAGAGAGAGAGAGAGAGAGAGAGAGAGAGAGAGATATATATATATATGTATATATATTCTTTTAATAGTTTCAGTTCCACACAGCCATCCAATCCGGTATCTGTTACAGAGAGCGACACACCCTCCCTGAGACTAAGTTGAAAAAATGGATGTTTTTCTGCAGGAAATCCAATGATTTCAGCGATTCTTGGCATTGTTTCTTGTCCGAATGAATCATTCAGGAGATCGAGTAGCATTTCTCCATCGACGATCTTGATTTGTTAGTCCCATTAGCAGGGGAAAGCATGAAGGTATCTTTATGGGAAATTATGGGGTAAAACAGGCTTAAATAAGAAGAATAACGATAAAAAATGCATAAAATTTGCACAAAAAATGCTTAAAATTGGTCAATTGAACTCTATGGATGTAATCGTCATCTTTGAAATTCTACGGGCTGATGTGCCAGAATTCATAAACTTTATGGGAACCTGACCCACCTTTCAGCAAAACCCATTGGGAATTCACATAGTCCAAATCCACCAAAAATGTACTGACCAATAAACCAGCCTAATATATCAATTTTAGTTGCCATGACTAGGCATGCCCTTTGGGTACTGCCCGAGAGGAGAGTTGATGAGGGGGCTCTGCCCCCAACGCCCCCCAGGACACATTCTCTTCACCTCGGTATGCACGGCAAGATAGAGCAGCATTCACACCATAAAGATACCTTTATATCTGGAAACATCAAACTTTCATTGCTTCTTTGTACCATTTGGATTGCTTTGATTTTACTCTGTGGATATTGTTCCTGCACCGGATTTTATAACAATTTGGCTACTCATCCAGCATACACTCGCTCTTGGAATATTCATAATTGGATTGAGACTCTGCTGGGATATATTTCCGGTGTTTATTGTTGGAAGCCTGCACTGAAGAGCTATTTTTCCGGCAGGGGCGCACATCATCAAAATGTTTAATTATTCTTAGGACATACATGCTAAGTTTGCTACAGTTTGACATTTCTGTGCTTTTCATCCTTATTCTGTGATTTTATCATGCCTATAAACAATAGGACCACACCTGTCAGAGACGAAGACATTCATCCCATGCATTTTAAAAGGCAAAAGAATGTGGGAAAGTCAAAAATGTAGAAACGAAAATAATTCGGCCATGGATGTTTCGACACGTGCGCGGGTGAGTGAACCGCATCTTAAACGCATGAACTACAAGTAAGATCACCATGAACCCCTATGGCCCTGGGTTATGAGGGAGCTATGAGGGGGCTATGCCCCTGGACCCCCTCCCGATTGCTAAATTTACCTACCGGACCCCCCCAGATTACCGTATTACCTACCGGGGGCTATGCCCTCGGACCCCCTACCAATTGCCGTATTTCCCGATGCAGGCAAACAATAAGTAGGAGTACTTCAACTCTGGCTTTACTTTCTTATCCAGAGTATGCTTCAAAGCTGCAGCAACAGTCCTTGAATCTTTGACATAAAACTGTGTGAAAGAGCTCCCTTGAAATTTGGTCATGCTGTCCTTCACATCAGCAAAACTGGCAAATTCAGTTCCAACTTTGAAGGAATCCATAATCGATGATCAACCCTTAGCCATGAACAATAAACAACTCAAAAATAGCGCCAAAGTTTGTATACAAGGCAAGCGCGAGTTTGTGTTTGCGTGCAAATAGTTTGTGCGCGTGTATGCCGGACGAATAGCCAAACTGCTATAAAATCCGGTGCCAGAACAATATCCACAGCATTGATTTTTTTTTTTTTGTCATTGGAGCTCTTGATGGGCTCAGATATTAAAAATGGTAACTAAAGTCTAATTATTTTTCATTGCCACTGTATAATTCATAAAAATAACCCAAAATCAACACTGAAACGGTACATTTCTCACCGGTGTTCTACCTTGAAATGAGTGGGCTTGCTGAACCTGTGAAAGAAAGTGTGAAACACTCGATGTGCACAATTCTAAACAAGGTTATCGATAAATCTTAAAATACGCAAATGAAGTATAATAATATCAATAATAGACTTTAAAAGCATAAATATGTAACAGCAGACACTGATTTAGCCAAATATCGTCTTAACAAGTGTGTAATAACACACACTAGTTTGGACATTGTAGTAATTCAGCGTTTGGAGTTTTGTTTTCCTGGTAAGGTAAACATTTGAATTTGTTATATTTTCTTCATTTAGTGGTGACAATAGGCTGCTGTAGCTTACAGTATGTTCTACCCCACTCTTTTTCTTCAACTCTATAAGATGGCGGTGTCCACTTCCCTCTATATACACGCATCGGTGTCTTTAACTTCTACCTCCAATTCTGTGGTTATTATTCATCCTTTCACTTATCATCTGTAAAATTTGTGAATCTCTTTTCGCCTAGACTCTCCAATCGCTGTATTTCCCCATCCAGGGAACTGTGCCCAGACCCCCCACCTGATTGCCATGGACTTGCTCCCACAACAACATTCATCACAACCTGTTTTCTTCATTTCTGTCTATTTTTGCCAATTCAGATTAGTTCATGTGAGTATAGTAGTAATAATAATTTCCAGACAAATTTCCTTAGGATGCTCTCACTATTAGTTGAACACATCTGATTAATGGAATTTCTTTTCTCATATTCTCTTTCTCCATTTTCACAAACCTTTTGGAAACTGCAATTCAGTAGCATCTTCCTCAGTAGCCTCGTTGCTATTCTGTGGTTCACTCATGGTGCTTAAAGCCCCAGCTTCTGCCGTCTGAAGGATTTCAAAACGTTGCCTCACCCTTCAGACAGACGTTTGTTTGTTGTTGTGAGGATCACGAACCTAAATGGTATTTTCTGTCATCCATATAAATCAAATTTGTATTTCAGAAAATGCTTTGATCACGTAACTAGAACGGAATTATCAAACCGAATAAAATAATAGCGATAATAACAATGATAATGGTAATGAATATACTGCTACAACTACTACTACTAATAATAATGAATAATAATAATAAATATGATAATAACAATAGTAATGATGATACTAGATAATACAGATATTAATGATAAGGATGAGGATGATTGATGACGATGAAAATATCAATGATAATAATAATAATATAATAATATATAATAATAATAATATATTATATAAATAATAAATAATAGATAATAATAAATAATAGTAATAATGATAATAATAAAGATAATAATGATAATAAAATAATGATATAAATAATATAATAATATATAATAATAATAATAATAATAATAATAATAATAATAATAATAATTAATAATAATAATAATAATAATATAAATAATATAATAATAATAATAATAATAATAATAGTAACATAATAATAACAACAATAATATAAATAATAAATAATAATAATAATAATAATATAATAATAATAATAATAAATAATAATAATAACAATAATAATAATATAATATAATAATAATAATGATAATAATAATAATAATAATAATAATATATAATAATAATAATAATAATAATAATAATAAATATTAATAATATAATAATAATAATTAAACAATATTAATAATAATGATAATGATAATAATATAATATAATTATGAGGATAATAATTATGAATAATTAATGATAATATTATAATTTTACTACTTTACTACAACTAGTACTGCTACTACTATCAATCATAATAACAATAATTATAACATTGATGATAATAATGAAAATGATAATGATATGAATAATGATAAAATGATAATGATAAAATATAAAACAACTTAATAGTGGTAAATACTAATACTAATAATGATAAACAAAATGATATATGATACTGATGGTTTAATTTATGATAACAAACAACAACATCAATAATGATAATGATTAATAAATAATGATAATAATAATAATAATAAAAACAATGATGATATTAATGATAAAATAATGATAGTAATGATTTGATATAATGATAATAGTGATAATAATGATAATGATAATAATAATGAAAATGACAATGATAATGATGACAGTGATAATAATAATAATAATAATATAATAATAATTAATAATAATAATAATAATAATAATAATATTAATAATAATAATAATAATAGTAATAAAAAACAATGAATAATGATGACAGTGATAATAATAATGATGATGAGATAATGATAAAATTAATGATAATAAATTAAAAAATGAATAACAATAATGAATAACATAAACAATAATGATAACAAAGCAATAA